GTGATATCAATCTGGCCATGCCCACCCCACCCCCCCTAAGGTCAAACACAACCTGATGCCACCATCAATGAAATCATGACACCCCTGAATTATAGGATTGTAAAAAGGGAAGGGTTTATTATGCTTATTGATGGATGCCAGTTAAGAATTGTAAACATAATAGCATTAATAACTAGCAAAGGGAATTTTTATCACTATTTTAAAATAAATGTTCAGTATGGTTTTTGAATTCATGAGATACATATACTTAGCTTAATCAAAATAAGATAATTCTCTACTAAAATATTGTCAAACAAATTTCAGTATTAATAAGATTAATGAATAGACTTAACAAAAGACAGACTGCGGTGATATGATAGCAGTATTCCAATACTTGAGGAGTTGTCATAGAGAAGAGGGAAGTCTACCCATTCTCTGAAGTACATGAGGGGTGTAAGATCATTAAAGAGAAATTGAACCTACAGCTAAGAAGAAATGCCCCGACAGTGGAAACAATTAATTAGTGGAAAGGCTTACCCCTGGAAGTTGTGGTGCTCTATCACTGGACATTTTCAAAGAAGAGACTGGACAGCCATTTATCTGGAATGATATATACTCCCATGCTTGTGCAGGGAGTTGGAGTAGAAGACTTCCAAGGTCCCTTCCAACCCTATTATTCCATGTTCTGTTATATAATTAGATTTTTTTTAGTCCTAATCTGGCCCATGGCATTTATTCATTATTCTAGAGGTATTATAAACCATCTTTTAAAGCAAGCCTTTCCCTACCCCATCCACCTTACTCTCCTTTCTTCCCAAGACTGGTACTCTTTAACATTGTGTATGTGTGCATTTGTAGTTTTTTTTTTTTTTAATAATTGCTCACTTTTGGCTTGCTGTCCTGCCAACTCCTTCAAGACCACACAGTTATCCATTGAGGTATTCTCAGGAAGGTAATATTTTTAGAGATGTTACTCTGTTGAATGCAATCATGATTTAAAAAAAAAAAAAAAACAAAGGCTTGCCAGAAAGAAGTTGACATAATTAGGCAAAGCTTTATGAAAGTGTTTTTGTCCATGTCCATGATTCAGAAGCAGAATCTCAAAAGTGTTCCTGTTTCAGAACAGAACATCCCCACTGCTATGTCATATGGGGATTTCAGCTGTGCAAATGGTCAACCACACTTCAGTCTTGTCTGGATTAAATCTTATTTTATTAGTCCTATCTAGACCATTGTTATAACTAGACACCAGTTATAGCTTCCTTAGTACACTTTCGGGAACTGCTTTCTGATGGATCTGAAGCATTGCTGAGTGTATGAAATAGAAATGTAAGATATAGAATAAAAGCTTTGGGAAGGTCCTAGTTAAATCTGATTAAGTCAATTTACCATGCTTTATTTATATGTCGGACTGAGGCACAAAAGTTTGAACAAAGATATTATTTATGATGGTGTTATGCTATAACAGATAATTATAATACTATAATTCTGTTAATATAACATACATGGGGTTATTATTGATAAATGATTTTCTGGAGCTCTTTCAGTCAGATTCAAACCTGGTTATAAGACAGAAACAGATTTGCTCACACTTGTTGATGATTCCTGGTAAGAGTGGATGCTCTTTTTGACCTCTCAGAAAAATGTCTACCATTGACTGTGGTATTCTTTTGGGCCAGCTATGGATTTGGGGCTGGGCGGTGTAGTTTTTCACTGATTTAGTTCCTTTCTCAGGGGCTGTCCAAATCGGTGTTGATAGGGAATGAGGAGTGGTTGGCCATTCCTTTGTAGGGTGCCATAGGGCTCAGGTACTCTCTCCACTCCTTTTTAACTTCCACATGATGCCACTGGGTGTTATCATAAATTATCATGGATTGAAATATCAATAGTATGCTGATGATACTCAATTTTATATCTCCACCCCTGGTGATCCAGGTGATATTGTGACTGCCCTCACAGTATCTGGATGCTATTGGGGCCTGGATTAGGGACAACAGGCTTTGTCTGAACCTAGCAAAACTGATGGTTTTGGGTACATGGAGCTTGAAGATCTAGGACTTTAACATCTTTAGTTCTGAATGTGATGGCACTACCACAAATAGACCCGATCTGCAACTTGGGGATTTTCTTTAATTCGTGACTCCTACTTGGAGATCAAGTGGCAGTCATGGCTAGGAGAACCTTTGCACAATTCCATTTTGTGTGCCAGTTGCAAACTTTCCTGGATAAGGAATCCCTGTGCTCAGTCTCTCAAGCCCTAGTCCCACATTTGTGTTCTGGCCTAGGTCTCCCCAAAAAGCACTAAGTCCATTCTGAGTCCAGGCAAAAACCTCTTTTATTACATTAATGTGAATTTATTTCATTCACAGTCGGCCAATGGCTTGGCAAACAGTTTTGTGAAGGTATACTAATGAGCTCAGACCTTTATCAATCCTGGAACGCTGCCCAGTAAACAGTTCCACACTCACTGCTGGCAGGGAAGGGCTAAGTTATACAGACAGATCTCCATGAGGCTGGAACGAACAAACAACTGAATCAGCGAGTTGTTTCCTGCAAAAGCCCCCTCTGCTTTTGCTTCTCTTAATCCTGATGGGATGCCATTCATCGTCCACCTGTGGCTTTACTTCCACATTGACCCTGTGTTCTTAATTGTGCCTTCCTTTTGGCAGCTCTGCACATGTGCAGGCTGGGAACCCGTTGCAGAAGCTCCCCTGCAGAGCCCTCATCCGAGCCTTCCTCAGCCTCCAGGAATGGGCTGGGTGCCTCCCCAACCTCCTCACTACTGTCCGACTCTGCTGCCAGCTCTGCCAGCTGGTGGCAGGCCACAACAATTTGGACTGTTGCAATGTGCTCTAAGTAGGGCTACCATTGAAGAGCATTCAAAAGCTACAGCTGGCCCACGTGAGCTGCACTATTGCGGGTTAAGATGTTGGCATAAAGCCCTTCATGGCATGGTTCCAAATTACTTGAGGAACCATTTAATCCTAGTGAGATTGGCCCGCTCCACCCACACTGGCAGAGAGGGCATATTGTGAATCTCATTGATTAAGGAATTTTGGCTGGTGGGGTACAGGAGAAGAGCCTTCTCTGCTTTGGTTCCTGCCCTTTGGAATACCTTATCTTCTGATGTGAGATTGGCTCCCACCTACCTGACTTTTCCTAAGAGTCTTAAAACCTGATTGTGCCAGATGGGTTGTGGTCAATGGAGCAATTTTACATAATTTTCCTCTTTTTCCATCTTATTTTATTTTATCTATTCTGTGATTTTATATTCAGTGATTTTAATATTTTAAATGTTTATTATGCTGTTAGCACCCAGAGTTGCTTGAAACAAAATGGGTAACAAACGAATTTAATAAATAAATAAATAAAAGTCAAAGAGAGATCTGACTTTAACAACTTCTTCATTGTCTGAAGGAAGTTGTATCAATCAGGTACTGATTAATACAACCTTCAGACAATGCACAGGTAGTTCTCGACTTACAATTTTGCCTAAAATTTCCATTGTTAAGCAAGATAGTTGTTGCATCCCGTTTTACAATATTTTTGCAACAATTAAGCAGATCTCTGCAGTCATTAAGTGAATCGTGTAGTTGTTGAGTGAATCTAGCTTTCCCTACTCACTTTGCTTTTTGGAAGCCAGCTTGGAAGGTTAAAGTGATATTCACATGACTTAGGACAGTGCAAATGTCATAAATACATGTCAGTTGCCAAGCACCCAAATTTTGATCACATGACCATGGGGATACTGCAACCAGCCATAAGTCAGTTTTTTCAGTGTTATAAATTTGAATAGTTGCTAAATGAATGGTTGTAAGTGAAGGACTAGTTCTATAGTATGTAACAACATACAAGAAAAAAACAAATAGAATAGGATTGGGGCTATTCACATTGGAAATGGCAAATGAGCTGATGTTTCACCATTGTAAAGAACCTGCCCTGTCATTTCAACCTCAAGGTCTTGGTTCATGCAGAGTCCACTCACATTGAATCCCTGATTATCAGAGCCCAGGTGAGATGGCTGGGACACATCTGAATGAATGACCACTGTATGCCTTGCTAGTTGCTTTGTAGTGAGTGGAGTCCAAGAAGAAATCTTGCATGTGCTACAAAAACACTATGAAAGAAACTCTGCACCACTATCACATCCAGCCAAGGGAACTAGAAATTGCAGCTGACAGAACCCATAAGCAAGCCTAAAATCTCCACTGGTTTTGAAGATGGGCACGACCAAAATTGATAGAAAGCTGTGAATGATGTCATAGAATAACATCCAGAATTACTACAGCAATGGACTTTCAGTGTTCCCATTGTATTAGACTCTGCACTGCATAGCGACCTCCATATTCATAAATGGACCGCACAACAGTGTATCTGCTTCAAATCCAAAGGACTAACATATACAGTATATGTTACATATAAAAGAGAGAGAGAATATAAAAACAATGCTGCACAATAATTAGCATATTGGATTTGAAACTACAGGTAGTCCTCAACTTACAACAGTTCATTTAGTGACCAAAGTTACAACAGCCCTGAAAAAAGTGACATGACCATTTTTCACACGTATGACCATTGCAGCATCCCCATGGTCATGTGATTTACATTTGAATGCTTGACAACGGACTCATATTTATGATGGTTGCAATGTCCTGGACTCGTGATCTTTTGAAAAAGAAAGTCAATGGAGAAACCAGATTCACTTAACAACTGTGTTACTACTTTAAGAACTGCATTGATTCACTTAGCAATTGTGGCAAGAAAAGTTGTAAAATGAAGCAAATTCACTTAATAAATTTCTCAACATAAATTTTTGATTAAATTGGGGTCATAAGTTGAGAACTACTTGTACAAAATCTAAATTTAATATTTGCTTAAAACTCCCAGAATTACTATCTTATGATCACATATTCAAATATGAATTTGTCCCCTAAAAAACCCATGTTTTTTGGGACAAAAACTATTCAATCTAATTTAGATTGCTACAATTATTTTTTCTTTCTTTCCTTTTTTTTCTTTAGCCAAACCAAACAGGAAGCTAACTTTTTTGTATCTGGCTAATGATGTTATTCAAAATAGCAAAAGAAAAGGGCCGGAGTTCACAAAAGATTTTGCACCCGTCATAGTGGAAGCTTTTAAACATGTATCCAGGTACAGTACATTCCTTTCAGTATATTAATCTGAGGAACTATTCTTTTCTGGGCAAAAATAATCATCCTAGAATAATGAAAAGTTTGACATGTAGATTGCTGATTATTTGATTTAGAAAATGGAACTAAACCGAATACATAAGTTTGTGTGTGTGAATGTAGTGGAAGTGTATGTATGTGTGTGTTTGTGTTCATTCTGTCATGCAGGATTAAAAATACATACTCAAGACAGATTTGGATTTGTAATTCACATAGGTGGATAATTGTTGTAAGGCTAAATCTATACCAATGTATGGTTTTAATTGATCCAGAGGTTTGTAAGCAACATTATTTAATCTAACAATATGAGCATCAAGATTCAGACATTTAAAACGATCAAACTGATGAACTTCTGATAGACCATACTATCACCAAATATTGAAAAGAGTTAACAAATGGGAGCTATTTGCAGAAACTTCTGTTTTTCTGACTAAAAATACAGATAACCTATTAGCATATGCTGACTTGAAATAAGTTTGTATAAAACAAATAAGGTACATAGAAGTTTGTTGAGATAAGTTTCTGTTTACCTATTTTTCTTCCATTTCTGTTGGTGATTTTTTTTTTGACATCATAGTGAAACTGATGATAGTTGCAAAAAGCATCTGGGCCGTGTGCTATCTATTTGGGAAGAAAGGTCTGTTTATGAAAATGATGTATTGGAACAACTTAAGCAAGCTTTGTGTAAGTAAATTTCATATGCAGCCTTTTATTTAATGGTTTGCATAACTTTATACTTGACTTTTAAATCCTTAATTTTTAATTTTTAGATGGAAACCCAAGGAAACGCACATATGAGCAGATAAAGATTGAAGATAACTCTTTAGCACAAAGCTCTCCATGTGATCCTCCCCAGGTACTAGCAGTGTATAAAAATAAATCTGCAAATGTCTTGCTCTTAAACATTCTGTTGTTATTGTACTTTGAGAGGTTTTTTCCCCAAAGAGATTAATAGGATTTTTTCCAGCAACTGTAAGTTGTTTGTCTCTTGTGTTTTCCCCATATCCTTGTTTTGCTGGGTACTAATGAATAACTGAACTTGCTGTAAATTTGCCAGCTGCATGATTGGTGCATAGAGAAATCAATCTCAGTGTCAGGATTCCGGCAGTTACTCCCATTTAAATCATGAGTCTCGAGCCAAACTTCCAAAACTTAAAAAGGATTTATTGAGAGTTCAGATGCCGGCACTGCCTGGGTGTAGCCGACTCTGAGACACAGAATTCATTGTCACCCTTGACCCTGATTTCCCCCTCACCCTTTGGATTTATCGTAATTCATATTCTCCAATGGGACACATCCATAGCCAAGAGTCATCAATCATGCTCTCCAGTTAGAATTTTTTGCAGCAGAAACTTCAGTTACCTAGTTACTATCTTTGAAAACATTTATGGAATGCAGTTTCGGTTTTGCAGGCTGCTGCACTACTCCCCCCTTCCTTTCTGTTGGCAACTCTAAAAAGACCAGAGAAATATTTTATGAGTTGACACTCAGTAGGGAAAGCAACTGAGTGTTCTCGTTTTATCAAGACTTGATAGATACTACTGTACTTTCTGTTTTCATTTAATAATCAAACATTTAAAAACAAATGTTCATGAGAAATGCTATTCACCTGTAGGAAAAAAAGTCAAACCATTCATTCATTCATTCATTCATTCATTTGCAATAGTTTAGAGTCTTGAGTCAATTGCTTAGAAATTATCTAAGCAGTAAAAAATTGGCAAATTGATTTGGCCTAAAATTCTGACATATGTTTAGTTAAATAAAAAAAATTACTTTCAAATCATTGTCCTGGTTTCCGGCAATTTTAAAAATAGAGCATAATTTCAGATAATGTTTTAAATTATTTCCAAATACTGTGAAGGAATAATAAAATCACATGTTTGGAGATATTTGTTTGAAATAGTATAATGAAAAAAATAACACAGCTTGTAATTTTCATGTATGTCTGTGGGACATCATTGCTGCAATGATGCAATTTAAAAAAAGATTTATATCTATTTTTAATTTGTTTTCTGTTTGGGTTTTTTTAATTAATTGCTAATGTAAATACTTAAGCAAATGCTGTTCTTTATAAATTTAAAAATAAGTTGAGAAAGAGTGGCGCAACATGACCTTCATGTGATTGATACTGTAGGTGAATCAGCCTTTTCAAGTTGAAGTTATGCTGAAAGGATAGTTTACAGCAATTCTAGAATATATTGTATTATTAGTTACAAGAATTCAGAACATTTTTAAAAAATTGCCTTCCATCCATGTTAATGATATTTTAATGTGGGCTTGTATATGTGCTAGAAGATACATTGATCTTCATTCTGTACAGTTCTTTTTTTTTTTTTTTGAAACAAATTTTATTGATTTTAAAGACAAACAAACCATCGTTAACCATTAAATACATAAAACCTCTCCATTATTAATTTTACAAGTCAAATAAAATATTATTTTATACAACATAATTCTATTTTTCACCATTTCAATATAACCATATAGATATCTCTTAACAAATTTCTCATTATTTCTCTTTTCGTATTCAATTTCATTAATTATTATTAATTTTCTATATTTATCCAGTTTATAATCATCATCTTCATTCCTCTCTGTCTTGTTTAACATTATTCTCATCCAACATTCCTCCGAGGTTTTATTAATTCTCAAAGAAAACATAGACACACAAAACACAAAAATATAAAACTTCTTTTAAGAAAGTAGTTTGGCCCCAGATTTGTATGGACTTCAATTAAATTCGTGCTCATCTTATATACCATTACCTATCTTATTTACCATTCTATATCTTCTATATAACTTCTCCCCGCTTTTCACTCTTCTTATTTCTATTTTATTTAATTCATTTTAATTTAAATCATTGTATTTATATTTTTTGTCCATTCTTTCCAAATTATCCATTTATCTCATTCCCTACAGCAAGTAAAAAAAAAAAAAGAATTTCTCCTGAAATCACTGATCAAGGTATGATGCCTTTCTATCCTCCCCCTAAATTAATATTTAAAATAACACCTAATACCCAATCTGATTCTGCTTAGTACATTCAACCTACTAACCTCTAAAGAAAGAAAATAATAAGTCCATAATAATTAATATAATTAAATAATAAATCTAAATTTTAAATCTTATAGCATTCCAATTGTCTATTTCAAGAAACAAGTGCTACAATAATGGGTTTATAATAAGATCAAAACAACAGTAAATTAAACTTTTTTAATTAAACTCAATATTTTAAACATTCCTTTTAATCTTTTATTAAATTTTAAAATCTATCATTACTAAACATTTCAATATTTTAATCTTTTGTTAATTCTTATAACATTCTAATTTTCTATTTCTAATACAAATACTACCATACCATCTTATGTACCTTGCAGAATCTTCTTTTTTAAAGAAATTATACATTACCCTTTATCCCTAAAAAAAATTCCTTTTTTCCCATCTTATTTTATACCTTTGTGGCTTTTCCCTCCCTTTTCCCTTCCTTTCTTATCCCACCTAACCTTTTTACCTCCAGCTTCCCCTCTCTGCTGTATTCCTTTCTCCTTTTGCTCAGTAACATTAACATTGAATTGGTTTTGCATCTTATTTTTTCCTTTCTTAAGTATTTTTTTAGATCTTAAGTCCTTCATTTTCCTTCCTTTCTTTCTCCTTTCTCTCTTAACTAAATTTTTAGATTCATTGAAGATGGCGTCTTCTTCTTCTTCTTCTCCTTCCATTTCCTCCATCTGTTGTTGTATTTGATAATTAACAAGCGCCATTTCTAAAAAGAGGAAGGCTTCTTTCACAGCGTCCTTTCTTTCTTCATATTCTCTAAGTTCATCAACAGATAAAGCCATTCTTTATTCTTCTTCTTAAAGCAACCAAAATGTTTCCAAAGTTAGAGCAATTCCCCAAAGTTCCAGAGAGAGTCAATCAGTCCAAACAAAACACAAAGTTCTCACTTTCTCTTCCTGTTGAGGTATCAAAGGGAAAGGGAAAAACCTCCAATCTATATTTTAAAGCCTTGTTGCAATTAATTTCTGGTCTCAAGATCTTCAAGGCATCTCCTCCAACAAAATCTTTATATATATATATATATTTGTCCTCTTCCTTCCCACTTATAACAAGAAGCCAAGTTTTTACCTTTTATAAAAAAACAACAGGTTTCTCAATGGTCATTTGTTGATTCCATAAGGAAGGAGAGTGAACTTTCCCTTTCAGCACTCAATTTTGCCGCTTGAAGGCCTCCTCTGGAAACGAAGTATTATTCAGAAAACCATAGTTCTCAGGATTAAACGCCTCTTAAAATCCTGGGTCAGCCACAAAAACTTTCTCTTAACAACTTTCTCCTCTCTTCCTCCTGCTCAGTCTTACCCAGCTGCCGGCTTCTTTGAGGCGGCCATTACAGACCGCCGCTCGACCGTCTTGGGAGAGGGGGGTTTTGCCGGCTGGAAAGGGGGTATGCAACACCCCCAAACCCCTCACCAGCTCCCCCCTATCTTCGGCTGCCTCTTCATGGCAGCCTTAGCCTCCAGATCCGTGGATCGGAGGCACCAAAGCGGCTAGCGCGGCAGGGATCGCGCAGGATCGCAAATCCCTGCCGCTAGCGAAGCCGACAAACTGGAAGTTCTCTTCATTCTGTACAGTTCTATTGCAAAAAATATATTATACATTGACAGAAAGGCCACCATTAATAGATCCCAAGTTTAGTACAACTATAGAAAGATTAGAAAAAAAACATTGGAAATTCTACAATTAACTGAAAAGTCAGCTTTTATGTATTTGTTAAAAAGCGCCACACATACAGAAGTCACAATGGCAGTGGATTGGAGAAAATCCCAGAAAGGGAAAAGAAACTGGGATAGAGATTTAGAATGTAATGAAATGTCCTACAAAAGCCATGGTTGGTATCCTGAATAGGAATACTTTCTTCAGTTCTTAGCTGAATTAAGAATAACATTGTTGCAATTTTTCTCAGCTCTACTATTATTTTGTAATATGGTAATATCTGATACTTTTACACATTTTTTCCTAGACAATGGGTCTTATAAGAGCATTACAAGAATTAGAAAATGCAGCCTCTGGAGATGCAGCAGTTCATCAGAGGATAGCCTCAATACCTCTAGAAGTTCAAGATGCAACTTTGCTTAACAGAATCACAGGTTAGGCCAACTATATTATAATTGTAGTGTCAGAATATTAGACTTAATTGAATGTTAGTCGTAATGTGAATTTTAAATACATTTTTTCTTACTTTGCAGACAAAGAATCAGGAGAACAGCTTTCCAAAATGGTAGATGATGCATGTATGTTGCTGGCGGATTACAATGGCAGGTTGGCAGCTGAAATTGATGATAGAAAACAACTAAATCAGATGTTGTCAGATGTTTTACGATGCCAAAAAGAAACCCTGTCAGAGAAAGAACAAACATTGGAAGTGCGTGATTTGTTGTGGTAGTTATTTTCTCCAACTTTCGTACTTAGCATTCTTTACCGTGCTTGCTTTTTACCACAGGGTGTGTTTAAGTGTGTGAAGTGTCTTTTTTAAGATACTTCAACTTTCTCATAATAGGTGGTTTTAATTCTTCTGAAATATTAAACAGTAAAGTGTTTACTGTGAGAAAAAATGTTAGGAGAATAATTTGTTTTATTTTGTTATCAAATATTCTTTGGGACTTAATATAAAGTTTGACATTAACATATCTCTTTCTTTCTAATATTGATGCAATTTTTTAATCTGATGAAAATTCTCAATGCAGAGAAGGGCTTTCAAACTTCTCTCACTGCTACTTCTATTGATAATTGTATTATTCTTATGTTTCCTTTGATGATTTTCTATTTTTTTAAATCACAAAAATATTTTTTTCACCATCCTTTTATGAGCTGAAATTTAATGCTTAGATTATCTGCATGCTTTGTAGAAGTCTAAATTGATTTTCTTCAAGCTTCAAGTGTTTAAAATTGGATTTTTTAAAACAAAAGTATAAAAGTCATACTTATTAACTTCAAAATTCTACCTAGAAAAATGCTATTAGAGCCACAATAGAGAGCAGAAAATTCATTGTTAATCTGTATGTCATAAAGTAAGGAATCACAATCCTGCCCCTGATTTCGAAGTCTCTTTTGCCATGGTCTTTTGCTGTGGTCAAGAATTAGAAAATTAGAAAATCACATTGGTTGTTAAGTGAGACATGTGACCACAACTTGTGACCTTTCCTGTGACTTTGTGATGCCACAAGACACTGCAACGGTCATAAACGAGTGGTGGTTGCCAACCAACTGAATCACAATCAAGTGACTGTGGTGACATTGTGACAGTGATATGTATAAGGACTTACCATAAATCACATTTTTCAGCACTATCGTAACTTCAAACTTCATTATAAAATGAATTGTCATAAGTCAATTACTTAGAGAGCTTTAGATAATAGTTATTGACCAAGCATTATCTATGGTAAATATTCTAGTAGCAGTAAGTTTGAATAAACATACATTGAACGTCATCAATATATTCACTTTCCCCCCTCATATAATTGGAACACTGATGATTCCGATAGGCCTATTTATTAAATTTGACAACTTTTAACCTGATTTAAGAATTTTAAATTCAGAATCTATACCAATAGTTTTTAATATTTGTACCTTAAACTTGCATAATTTCTACTTAGTAACATATAACAAATGCCTAATGTTAATCCTTCTATCATCCATGAGGGTGGGTAATGTCTGACAGTTTTGATAGTGACATGTCTTTAATATATATCCAGCTTCTATTTCAGGTGAGGAACATGGATATTATCTTCTTATGATGACATCTTTCGTTAGTAATGCATCCTGCTAAAAATAAAATTCAGAATCAAAATCCTGTTTTGTCTCCTCTTTCTAAAAAGAAACTTTATTAATACCTGCTCAGTATATTTGACAAATCTGTTTTGCTTACATTGAAATAAGCTGTATATCAATCATTCTTATCAAACTGAATGTGTTAAATGAAATTCATTAAAATTAATGTCTATACAATGAGTTCATCAATTTAATATTGTCTATTGAGGTTATTAGAAAATCACTTAGTAAACATGTATCTGCCTGCAATATTAAGTTGAATGAATAACAACAGAATTATGTTGAGATATAGGCGGAGAACTAGGTGTGTGTATATATATGAATTAGTATATGAGAGAGGGAAATTCCCTCTGCTAATAGGGTTGATTGTTCTTTTCTTCCTCTTTTCCTCCCTCTTTCTGTCCACTAAACTATAGAGAATTATGGATTGCTATTGAAATTTTAAGAATGAAAGGGTAGTCTTAATATTGTTTTTCTGGGAAACTAACAGGTGTGACATAAAGGTTAAAAGCTCCCCTTTGTCAGTTTGCAACATCTGTTCTTTAGAGCAAGTGTATACAACTATGTCCTAAGAACGATATGTGCCCATTGAAAATCTGAGATCCCCCACAAATCATTTAAAACATGTCCTAAGCTATCACTTTAATGAAATAGCAGAGAAAGACTATTAAATACATGAAGATTTTTCAATTAAACAATTTTTTGTCTTGGACATTGCCAAAGTAGGAATGTAATCTCAACATACCATTTAAAGTCCAAATGCTATAATTGACTTGAAAAAGAAACATTGTATTCCTTGTTTAACAGAATTAAAGAATGGTAGATATGTAAAGAAATAATTGTGTGAAAAAGTAAAAGATGTGAGAAGTAAAACATCATTCTGAAAAAATACAGTTCAAAATTTGAACTCTTTTAAATTATCATTATTCTTGCATAACTATAACTAAATTGTCATCACACAATCCCTTAAACTTGATAAAGATAACCCAATTAAACAAATTAATGAAAACTTCTTTTATTAAGGAAATCTAGCTATAGCTACATATTTGTGTATGGCAAAAATATGTGAACCATTGCTTTCGGTAACTGGTATCCCACAAGACTGGATTGTTGTTTTCTTGAAACATTTGACTCTAATTTTCCCTTCAAATGATAATTCTAGAGGTTCACATACATTTAGCATTACAAATAGGTAACTTTGGATAAATTTCCTCAATAAACAAACATGTATAATGTTTTAAACTCATTTGTTTAATTGGGTTCTCTTTGGTTGTGTGGACTTGTATGGAGAATAGATCACATTTTAATTCATATTTATAGCATAGACATTAAAAATGCTCATAAACTTAAAAACTTATTTTTAACTGGTTACTGTTATATAAAGTTGTAATTTATTGATTTATCAGTTCAATCAAACAAATTGCAATTGATTATTCTAATCTGTATGTAGACATGTGTGCGTATCCATGCATTGTTGTAAGAATATTCTAAACATTTGTCAATGCTGAGATTTCTTTGCACACTCCAATGTAAAATTACCTGTTAGAGATACAGGAATCCATCTAAAACAATTAAAAACAGTACATCTTTTGTTATAATATGTCAGAATTTGACAATAAAATAGTATGCTTCTTATAAACATGACTGCCTAAGTAGGAATCTCATGAAGAGAATCAAACTGGAGAGAGCATTTTAGACATTACGTTATCAGAATAGTAGACTCTGTTTAGGCCCAAGCATGCTACTGTGCTATTGGCATGGGATCAACTCTCTTGTTGCAGATAGTCCTCATTTAATAACCACAATTGGATTTGGCAAATCTATTACCAAATGACATGATTGTTGAGACATCCTGTGACCCCAATAGACTTACAATCTGCCACAGCCGTTAAATGAGGTAACTATAACTTGCAATTTTATTGTCAGCTTCTCCATTGACTACTTGTTGGAAGTTGGCATAGATATCAAACTCTAACGCGTCACATGACATAATGTGCATATCGCGATGTTTTTTGCCTTTGCGGAGCCGGGTGGGTGTGGCCTGTGTGTAACATCCAGCCCACGGACCGCCAGTTTGACACCCTTGTTCTAGGGTCCAGCATCTTTCTTGTATAATGGTAAACCAGAACTGGACACAGTATTCCAAATGTATTCTTACCAGTGCAATGTAAAGCAGTATTATCACTTCAAGTGATATCTCTGTTGATACAGTGTAAGACTTGATTAGCTTTTTTGGCAGTTGCAGCACCCTGCTGGCTCATATTTAAATTGTGGTCTAGGACATCTAGATCCTTCTCACAGTTTTTCCTGTTGACCCAAGTAGTACCTATTTTATACATGTGCATTATGTTATTCTTGCCTACATGCAGAACTTATTTTTCTTATCACTGAATTGCATTTGTTGAATAGAGCCCAGTATTCAAATCTACCAAGATCCTTCTGAATCTTGAATCTATTTTCTAAAGTATTAGATCCCCTCCCACCTTGGGGTTGACTTCAAATTTGATGAGTTCCCTTTCTATCTCCTCATCTAGATCAGAGTTTCCCAACCTTTTCGGTTTTGCAGACCGATGGGAGGGGGGAGGGTGGTTCCATGCATGCAGCAGGCAAGTGCATGTATGCACACAGCTTCATTTGCATGAGTAGCGGGCGTACACCCACCACTCACGCAAATGGAACGTGTCTACATGCACTCACCAACCTCTTCCATGGCCCTATTCCGAAAGGATCAAGGTTCAGTAGTGGGCCGCAGCCCAAGGGTTGGGAATTCCTGATCTAGATCACTTATGAAGATGTTGAAGAGTACTTGGCCTAAGAAAGAACCTTGAGGTACCCTGCTGCATGCTTCCCTTCATGTAGATGAAGTTCCATTGAGTACATTCTGACTAGTTCATCAGCCAATTGCAAATCCATCTGGTGGTGGTACTGTATATCTTTATCCCTATGCCTTACTGAAGTCTAGGTAAACACTGCAACATTTTGCTAATCTTCTTTGTCAAAGAAGGCAAAATGGTTTCTCTGCCATGATTTGTTGACAAATCCATGCTGGCTTCTAGTAATCATTTTGTTCATTTACAAATCCTCACAAATGCACTGCTTGATTATTTTCCCCAGCTATTGATGTCAGACTGATTGGTCTATAGTTTTCTGGATTCACTTTTTCCCCATTTTGTAGATTCAAATCATATCAGCTCTATTACAGTCTTCTGGCACTTCCCCCATATTCTAGGAACTTTGAAAGATTTTGTTTCAGTAATTCCAAGATCTGTTTGCCAGCTTCTTCAGAATTTTGGGACATAATTCATGTGGTCCTGGCAGTTTGAACTTGTCTAGGATGGATAGGCATTCTCTATCATTTTCCTGGTTATTTTGACTTTAATCTGTCTCCTACAGTACTGTTTTTGTTAGGTTAGACTGTTTTTTTTCCTTTTGCATGAAGACAGATGCAAAGAATGAATTAAGTAGTTCCGCTTTCTCCCTGCTACCTGTCACTCCCTTGTCATCTTCTCCCTTTAGTGGATCGATCATACCCTTGATTTGTTTCTTAGATGTTGAAAAAAACATTTTGAATTCTTTTTGGCATTTATTGCAAGTCTTAGTTCAGTCTGAGCTTTACCTTTGCTGACTTAATCTTTGCAGATTTAGGCTATTTGCTGACATTCTGACTTAGTTAAATGTTTATATGTCCATTTTTATATTTGTCCTTTCTTCCTGTCACTTTCTCACAGTTCTTTATGCAACTGTGTTGTTTTTTATTATTTGTGTCTCTTGGTTTTCTTTCTCTGGTATTGTATTAGATTGAGCTTTTATAATCCCATTTTTCAAAGTTTCCCAAGCTTCTTGAGTTGTTTTCCTCTTAAAGATTTCCATCCATGGAATCCTTCACAAGCTATCTCTAAGTTTCTTGAAATCACCTCTCTTCAAGTATAAGACACTAGATGTAGTCCTTGACCACAATTGAGCCCAAAATGTATGTTGTTAAGTGAAACATTTAAGTCAGTTTTGCTCCATTTTACAACCTTGCTTGCCACAGTTGTTAAGTGAATCACTGCACTTGGTAACTTAGTAATCTGGTTGTTAAATGAATCAGGCTTCCTGATTGATTTGCTTGTCAAGTGGTTGCAAAATATGATTACATGTCCTTTGGACACAGCAACAGTCATAAGTATGAACTAGTTGCCAAGCATTTGAATTTTGATCACATCATGGGGATGCTTCAAAGGTTGTAACTGAAAAAATGGTCATTATCTTCAGTGCTGTAACTTTGAATAGTCACTAAATGAGCTGTTGTAAGTTGAGGATTGCCTATAGTTTGATTGTATTCTATTGCTTGTTTATGCATTATTTTGAATTGTAATATGACATGGTCACTTTCCCCTAAAGTTCCCGCAACTTCAACCCCCTTTATCATTTCATCTGTGTTCATAAGAATTAGATCCAATACAGCTCACTTCTAGTTTTGATCTGTTTGACCTGTTTGATCACCCATTTGGTTCTGGTTTGTCTTCCTGTTGATATCAGTTTAATTACAGCCCCTACCATGGTATGTTTCCTGCCCCACTTAGCTAACTAATTTACAAAAGTTCATCTATTTCCTCTGCTAGGTTCAGTGGTCTGTAGTATGCACCTATAGCAGTGTCATTCCTTTTTTATATATTAATCCATATGCTGCAAGAAGGCTTTCATCTTTGGTTTTATACATTTCTGTAGAGGTGTAGTGATTTCTGACATAATGCAACTCCAGCTCCATTTTGAGACATTATTCTTTTCTGTGTTGTTTCATAAACCTATTCATCAAAGCCTTGTTTCCTTATTAATGTGCATAGATCCCATCAGCTATATGTAAAAATAATAACAGAATTGGAAGGAACTTTGGAGTCTTCTAGTCCAAATCCCTGTTCAAGCAAGAGACGCTATACCATTCCACACAAGTGGCTGTTCAGTCTCTTCTTAAAGCTCCCACAACTTCTGAAGACAAGCTATTCCATTGGTTAATTGTTCTCACTTAGGAAATTTCTCCTTAGATCTAGGTTGCTTCCCACCTTGATTAGTTTCTATTCATTGTTTCTTGCCTTGCATTCTGGTGCTTTGGAAAATAGGTTGACCACCTCTTTTTGTGGCAGCCCCTCAGATATTGGAACACTGCTATCATGTCACCCCTAGTCCTTCTTTTCACTAGACTAGATATACCCAATTCTTGCAACTATTATGTTTTAGCCTCCAGCCCTGTTGCTCTTTTTTGCACTCTTTCCAGAATTTCAATGTCTTTTTTATAATATGGTGCCAAAAATAGATTCTAAGTGTGGTCTTACTAAGACTTTATAAAGTGGCACTAATACTTCACATTATCTTGATTCTGTCCCTCTGTTAATGCAGCCTAGGATTACTGCCACACCCTGTTGGTTCATATTTAAGTGATTTTCTATTAGGACTCCAAGATCCCTCTCAGAGTTAGTACTATTGAGCCACATTTCACCTAATCTTTACCTGTACATTTGGTTTTCTTGCCTAAATGTAAAACCAACTTTTCTCTAATATTGAATTTTATTTTGTTAGATAGGGCTCAATGTCCAAGTTTGTAAATATCCATCTGGATTTTGTGTCTATGTTCTGGGATGTTGGCTATTCCTGTCAATTTAATGTCATCTGCAAATTT